CTGATGGTAAGCTTTCCAAAAAAACTGTTACAATCTCTCTTATTTGTGGCAATTTAAGGATCTTTGTTCTCATTTTTTTGTTTTTCTATTTTCATATTCAAATTTTCCTTGAAGGTGATGGCCGTGGAGATATTTGCAAGGATGATTTTGACCAAGACAATGTCCTGGACATCCATGATGTTTGCCCTGAGAACTTTGAGATCAGTGAAACAGACTTCCGCAGATTCCAGATGGTTCCCTTGGATCCCAAAGGCACCTCTCAGATTGACCCCAACTGGGTGGTGAGGCATCAAGGCAAAGAGCTGGTGCAGACTGTCAACTGCGATCCCGGCATTGCTGTTGGTATGTAACCAACAGAGAAACATGTTGCTCCAGTTATAATTTCTATATGTAGTGGCTGCCCTAAATCAAATAAATCTTTCCAATTCAGGTTATGATGAGTTCAGTGCCGTGGATTTCAGTGGAACGTTCTTCATCAACACGGACAGAGATGATGACTATGCCGGGTTCGTGTTTGGGTACCAGTCGAGCTCCCGCTTCTACACAGTGATGTGGAAACAGATCACACAGACTTACTGGTCCCACACACCCACCAGAGCTCAAGGCTACTCTGGCTTGTCAATCAAAGTTGTAAATTCCACCACAGGGCCTGGCGAACACCTCAGAAACGCTCTGTGGCACACCGGAGACACTGCAGGACAGGTGAGAGCATGGTGTTTGAGTCAGTGTTTCAGGCTACATCATTTTTTTGTGGCTATTTTCACTTCAATCCTTGCCACTCTTGATTTTCAGGTCCGTACTCTGTGGCACGACCCCAAGAACATTGGCTGGAAGGACTTTACCGCCTATAGATGGCACCTAACCCACAGACCCAAGACTGGACTTATTAGGTGAGTTCAAAACCTGATTTATGTCCGAAATTGTGTAATTCTTTCGCAACTTTTACAGTAGCTTACAGTATGTGATTGTATTTATCTTTTAGAGTGGTCATGTATGAAGGCAAGAGAATCATGGCGGATTCTGGAAACATTTATGATAAGACATATGCTGGTGGGCGACTAGGCTTGTATGTCTTCTCTCAGGAGATGGTTTACTTCTCAGACCTCAAATATGAATGTAGAGGTAAGACTATGTACAAAGATTAGACAGTTCAGAAACAATTCTCTTCACTTAGCCTTTTTTTTAATTTGTATTTTCTTTGCTTTGTCTTCCAGATACATAATTGCACCACAGAGCCTTCTGGAAGAATGTATCAGCGTAGGCCTACATCAGTTTCAGTTTCATTATTTGTCCTCTGAGAAATGCACAATGGAGGTATGTTGAGCAAAGGAGATAAGGGGGAGAGAAAGGGACCTCAGGAGTCGAAGCCAAATTAAAAGGAAAAGTTAACTGCACGCATTGTGAGTGCAGCTCTGCTAAGAAGAAATCGCCTCTCTTTGTCTGTCTGCGCTGATCTGCATCAGAAGAGGGCCACATTTTATTGCTTTGCACAACTGAACTGTTATTCCTCTGTGGATGAGGGAGCAAAGGGAAGAGAGTTTTTTTTTTTTTTTTTTTTTTTTTACATTTTTATACTAATTTTGAGCATTAACATACATCTGCTGTGGACTGAATGATACAGTACTCAGAACGAAGAAAGCATTAAAAGACATTTTTTAAGGATGGGGTAAAAAAACAAAAAAACAAAAACAGAAAGTAATCCCCTGTGAAGGAACTGTTGAGGGACTGTGGACAGTAAAGAATGACTGTTCTTATTGAAGAGTGAATGTTGTGTTTTTTTGTGCATGTGTGACACCAAAAGAGAATAGCAATGAAGACATTAAAATCAGAATTTAATTTTAATTTTCCTGGTGTCCCCCTCACACTGTTGGCTGCAGATACAATGTCCTGGCCCCCCAAAAAATACTCTTCTCAGGAAAGAAAGACTTTGAGCAGGAGACCTTGGGACACAATTTATACGAAAACCTTGTCTTAAAATCTCAATTATAGTGAAGGCCAGTTTTCTTTTTTATTATTATTATTCTTTCATCATAGAGGTTTTAATTTTAGCTCCTCTCTGCATCTTGCTATCATTAAATATTATAAGCAGCCTTCTATGGTTAACATCCTCTAAATATATGCAGTTACTTCTAATTATGTGAAGTAAAAAAACAAATGTATCCTGCTTTCTGCACAGTGTGCATGATGACATGCCTGAGTTTGAGTGTTTTTGACAAAGGGGGGAAAAAAAGGAAACCCTTTATGTACAAATATTACCTCATCGTTTTTATTAAGGCCAGCAACACACAAGAAACATTTGTTTTAGTAACAGAGTATAAATTTGTTGGCTTACGTTTTAAAAAGCAAGACTATTATCATTCATATGCTGTATATAAGATATTTTTCTAGTACAAGAAACTCGAACAGGAAAGGATTAAAGAGATGTTTTGAATATGTTTTGCAATATGTATTTCTTGTGCCTTTTTGATAAATTATTCTGTTTTTTCGTCATTTGTGTAGATATATGCTATTTAAATAATTTATCTCGAGGTGTAACCTCCTATGGAAGCGTTTCTATCTGTATAAACTTTTTTGCACACTGACATGAGGATGTCTTTGTTATTTTGATTTTTGTATGTCTCTTTTTTAATTATTAGTGAAACGTTTCTATAAACATTTGTACTATAGTTTCTACTCAAAGTGTCGTTTATACTCCTGTAATTGGTTCTTTGTCAAGTGAACAATAAACCCTTCATAAAAAAAAAAAATATCTAGTCATCTTTATTCTTTATTAACAGTCACTGGTAAAGAAGCAGGTTATTCAAAGAATCCTGTGATCAAACGAATTAATTTGAAGTGGAAGAGAAAACTGTGGGCGGAAAAAATGCACAAACAAATGCTTTTTCCTTCCACTTGATTTTTGATTTACATGACTGGATAAAATGCAGTGTCAACTCACACCTTCTTCATTATTAACCTTCTGTGACTGTTTTTATTAGCTGTAAGCCACAATAATCGAAATTACCGAAAAAGACACACGCTAAAAGGAAACCTTAAATACACCAATCTGTGTGTTAAAAGAAAAGCTTCACATTTCTTTCAAGGTTGTGTTCATCCTTGTTGATTGTACTCTACCAATGTTGATTGTGTACTTCACCTCTTCCCCATAATTTCTTCTTTCCACTTAACTTTCCATTTCTAATCTTGGATGAAACACGATGCAAGACAGCTTCTTTAACAGTGACTGTAAAGTCACCAGTCTACCCTATGATTGTGTAGAATAGATGCTTCCTGTAATAAGAAACATTTCTGAAAAACTGAACCTTCATTAGCTTCAATCTTCAAAATTAGCAAAAGTGTGCACTTGAAGTATGTCACTGCCTATTAATTTTTGTAATGTATAAATTTCACTTTTTGAATAATTACTAAAACAAATATTTTTTCAATGATATTATGATTTATTGAGACGCACCTGCACAAGATTTTGAACTCATACCTGCTCAGATCAGGGTATTTTCAATGGTAAAAGAGGTGAACATTGGTCTGTCATGCAACTGGTATGAGCTCGGAGTCTAAAAAGGCTTTGGTAAAAGGGAATGTCTTTTGTAGTCTGCTGCAGGGAATCTCAAAATGAAGTATGCCCCACTCAAGCACCACATTTCTTCACATCTCACACATTACACAAATATCTCTGAACACCTACAAACAATGGCACCCAGTCAGGAATTTCTCATTGCAGCAACAAACTCTCAAACTTTTTAGGAGGGAACCTGATTCTTTGTCTCTGCATACAAGTTGGAATTCCATCAACTAAATGGGAATTCACCACAACGCTCCACCAACATCTCAACTGCAAGCAGACGTCCAACAGCTACTTTAAGTCTATCACAGGAAGTTATCTAAACCCCAGACAGTCTCAGTTTGCTGTGTGCCTCTCTTTACATTAGCAGTGACCTCATTCTTGCCGTAGTGAGCTCACTGGGTTTCCATTACCAACAATGAGCAGTATACAGTTTGTACTATTCTGGAAACTTATTGTGTGGATTACATACAGAGAGCATAAAGGAGGGGAAAAATATATATACACATAAGCTGGAATAAAGACAGTGTAAGGGTCTGTTTAGAGTCCCTGGCAGATAGTTTAGCACTGGCATCTAAATATGACTGAACTTGTTCATTTTGTTAATGTTTTAGGTCAAGTGGAATTCCTGCCATTGCAATGGGGTCAGAGTGTGTTTGAGAGGTGAGGAGTGAGATGAACATGTCTCTAGGTGTTTGAGTGGCAGAATGAGAGAAATACAAAGCCTCCAGGCACATATCAGGCAGGTGCAGAGAGAGAAAAATAATAATAATAACTCCTGTCAATGGCTTTAAAAACACAAGCACCAGCACAAGCACCATTGAAAATGCTGCTGTCTCTTTTAACAGAGGAGTGGATTTAGATTAAAATAAAGCTCCTTTGGGGTCCATTTTCTCAAACTGTTATTAATCCGAGACCTTTACCAAGATCATAAGTAGATGCAGGAATGGTTGGCATGCTTTTAGCTGAACTGGAAAAGCCCATCACCCTCATGAAGCCCAAATCAACCCCGTTCCATAAACAATAAAACTACAACCATAGACATAAATAATTCAACGATTTGTTTTATTGCATATAACAGTTTTAAAAGTTTACCCAGCAGACTATCGGTGAAATGCCTTTTACATCATACCACTTCACCATTACGTACAAACTTACCGAAATTGTGGATAATTCCTGCAGGGTGTTTGAAACTCTTACGATGTACTAGAATGTAACATTCCTCAACATTGTTTATCTTTCACAGGATTTCTACGCTGAAATTGTGTTGGAAGCATATTTTTGCCCAGGCTGCTGCATGAATAAGCTTGGTAGCCAAATTGTGCATAGGCCGAATACCTGAAGTAAGATGTTTTTAATACTGAATATACCTATGACATTGTCTAGGCATAGCCCTGGTCATGTTAAGCAATGATTAAGAAGAAGGAGGAAGAGAATGTATAAGTCTCAGATAGTTTATTTTATAATTAAACAATAGAAGAAGGACAGGTCATAAAAAAAACAACTTCCAGTTTCAGAGCCTCTGTGTGATCAGATCATTGTGAAAAACAGACTCTATACAGACTCTGTACATAACTATCCCCCTCACACACTGATAATAAGCTGAAGGAAGCATCTTCAGTGATCAGCTGGTGCAGGTGCAGAAACCTCAAATTTACACATAAATCCCATGGATTGTAAAGTCACATCTTTGTGTGAATGTGATACCTGTGTTGCCAAGCGCTGCTATAACACGACCAAGGACAGGAACATTGGAAAAACCTAAAGAGGTGACATGACTGTGTTCATGAAGTGGTTCTTCAAATTAGCTATGATCCAGTTTGTGTGCAGCTGCATCTAATCACTAGTTAATGGCAGCAATGTTATTTGTCATTTACTGATACTTAGATTGATACAAAGAGTGCCTTAGCAACTGTTTCCTTGAGGAGAACATAAATTGTAGCAATGGACTGCAATTCAACCACATGTGGAACACAAGAACGCCATTAGAGTGGAAAAAAAAATGCTTATCAACTTTTATAAATATTTGCATTTCCATTCATTTGTAATAGTTTACGAATGAGTTCATTGTAGAAAATAAAAGCAAGGTGATGTGCTTTGGAGGCAGTAATTCACAAGGACAAGATGGATGTTTTTAAGGTCCTGATGGCGCTGTTTTGTTCCTCGGATTGTCCTGGCTCCAACTCTCTGTCCTCTCACATTCATCCAGCAGACAAAGCAACTGCTCCTCAGTCAGGTCTGCTGACTCATTCTGCAATAAAAAAAATAAAAAATGAAAACATACATAAATCAAAAACATGTGTTAGTTTAAATCCAAAGTGCTACCTCAGTGTGTATGTGAAAGCAAACACAGTGTTGCATCTGAAAATGTCCCAAGATCCACATCTTGTGAGTCCAAAGGAACAAAGCTCAAAAGTGAAGACAGAATAATTCCCTGGCTAAACTCACACTATTCTCCAACATCCTGACCTAATTTTTCCTCAGAACAGTTTTTGCCGGACTCCAAATGGACAAATGAAAATAATGTCTTGCATCAGTCCATGACCCGACAGAAGACTGGCACATCACAGAAACAAACTGATGTGGTTCTGCTGTCCCATGTGCTTAGTTGGAAGGTGTTTGGAGGGGGAAAAAAACACTTTTACTTGGATGCAAGTACTGTTTTTTTAAAGATAAGTCTGACTCCTCACATGCTGCCTGCTTTGGACTGAATTTAAGAAAGTTGGCTTCACATTCAGAAGCCAACTTTCTTAAATTTGATTCAGAGGAAGATCTGAAGTTGTTCTCGGGGCTAATGTGTCATCTGGCAGCTGCCATTCCTGTACTAAAGTTTCTCGCTGTGAACACGTGCAACTCCTGAATTTACCTGGACATGAGTCCTCACAGACGGTTCCAGTCTCCTGGTGTGACAGCACTGATCTTTGTTTTAACAGCTGTAAAAGGCCTCAGTCAATTTGTCTCAATAATATCAACTAAGTATCTTTCTTAGGATGAGAGTTATGACTGAAACGTATCCAGAGAAGCAGAATGTTAAAATCTTTGAATGGCAATCATCATCATTCTCTCGGCATGTTTGCTTGTGTTTCCAGCTATCATCCAACACTGAACAGAATGTCCCTGGCTTTAAAGTAAGGATGTCCTCACCCACTTCTTTTTGTAAGGCTCAAAGGCACTGATTAGGACAGGGGTAGAGGTAGGGGGAGGGGGGCCATATCGTTTTTAGGTCAGCAGAACATGGACGGTAATGTGTTTCAAAAGTATTTCACTGGAATGTAATTTGAACATTTAAAATTAATATCAGGAGAGTAGAATTAGATCTTTTTTGTTTTAAAACAATTATGTACAGATCCATAACTTTTCTCCCATCTTCAGTAACATATGACACCTAACCGATTTTTTTCCCCATTTTTGCCTCATTCTACTGTGTAACTTAAGGCAAAAAAAATAAATAAAAATAAAAATCACATTCCTGTATCTCATCTAACCCTTTTAGTTGGAACTAACAGTGAGCATCCATCATTTGTCATCCAGACCACCCGGTGAATCTCTCCAGCTCTTTATCAAAGACCGGTTACTGAGAGATGTACATCACCTGGACAAAACAATCCAAACAATGGTGAGTTGAAAGATGTAAATTGTGATCCGGCCTTGTGATGACTCTCCAGTTACGAAGATGAACAATATGATCATATATCAAAAGCTCAAGAATGGACAGTTGCTCTTTGGCATGAATGTTTTATAACAAGGATGCGTCTCTGAAGACCCATATGCAAAGGTACCATATTGCAGACACATTAATGTAGAGTTTTCTCAGAGACATTTCACAAACATTTACCCAACACCACAATGTCAGCAGTGATCAAAATTAACAAACCACAACTAAACTCATCAACGGATTCGGACCAAAGTAAATTTATTGTCGTGGTGAAAACGCCCTAAAGAATCTTCAAAAGCATCACACCATGCCCTGATCTAAACAAATGTAAGCTAAGATGGGAAACAAAGTCATTGACATTGTTTAATCTGGAAATAGTTGCAAGGTCATTACAAAGGCCTTGGGACTCCAGAGAACCACATTAAAGTCACAAATGGAGAAAACATGAAACAGTGGAAGGAGTGGTTCGTGTACAAAAATTATTCCAGGAGACCATTAAGCACGGAACAACTCAAGCACTTTAAAACTCACTTGCATTAGTTAAGGTCAGTGTATAATTCAACAGGAGAAATTGGGCGAAATTGTTATGGTTTTCAAAATGCCATACATTTATCAACAAGGGCATTGCTTATGTTGGAGAGAGATTTTTGGAAAATTATTTTGTGGAATAACGAGTGGAACTTTTGGGTAACTGTGTGTCACTTTATATAATTTCAGAAGAATAATACTACCAGTTAAACTGGTGGTGGAAGTGTGACTGTCTGGGACTGGAATCCTACATCAGGGCATATGACTTGATGGGACCAAGATATCTGTTCTCTAACAAAACATGCGATAGAGAAAAGGGTAAAAAAAAAAAGGCGTGGTCCAGTGAAGGTGTGGACCTGAATCCAACTGAGATACTGTGACATGACCTTAAGCAGACCTTTCTTGTCAGAAAACCCTGCATTCCTCCAGAGCTAAGTAAAACAGTCATTGCCAGTTATCAGAAACGATAGATGGCAAATAATTGGTTTAAAGGGCAATTACTTTTTCACAAAATCCCAGATTAGCTTAGATTGAACGTTTAACTTTATAACATCTTTTTATAAGTGATTTTAGTAATTTGAAGCAGTTTCCTGAAGTCTTTCTGAAAGAAAACTGGGAGATGTTATATTTGGCCCAGAAACAGTAGATGACTGCTCACCTCTTTTCACAAGAGGTGGAAAATGTGAAGAGGAACTGGCTGGCGGTACAGATAAAGAGTTACTTTTTTACCTCTTACTCTGTCTGTTTCCTCTTCATGTTGATGATCACTTATTTCACCATGACAACTACGCAACACGAAGTTATGATCAGTTCAATAGGTCTGTCAACGTTTAAGGACCGTATTGGGAAAAGCAGAATCATTAAAATTTTTTCAACTGTTTTGTCTTTTAGTTTGAAAACATACTTATATGTTCATTCCAGTGTCATCTGCCATGAATATGATGTATTCCAGCCTTTTAACAAAAAAACAATCCAACTTGAAAGCAATGTAAAAATCATATTTTAGAAATGCTGGGGAAGGTTGCATCCCGGTCTGACAGCCCCCACTATCAAACTGACGCCATCAGGCACATACTCAAGTTGATTCGAGACAATATCATCTCCAACGTGGTACCATTCATCATCTTGACACCGTGACCTACATCCTAATGCACACTGTTCTTGATCTCCTCTCAAAAGATTCCAGGGTCCAAAAATCCCAGCATGGAAAGCACCTGAACAGTTTTGACTTGGCGTTCCCATGTTTCCCCACTTTAATGTGATTATAAATTATAAACCATGACATATTTTTGAAGACAAAATCTGCTTGATAGTCACGCACTCCCTTGAGTAAAATGATTTACTTGTAGTGTTGTAGCAATCTTTTCACTGGAGAATGCACTGCAAGCTTATTTTGTAAATAATCTTAAAGGACTGGACTGAATAGAAGCCTTCTTGCATTAGAGGACGGCTGGCTTTCAGACCCCTGTCTGATAAAGCTGAGGTATGTCACTGAAGTAAGATCTTAAAAGTGGAACAACCCACACTTGTGTTGAACTGGTGCTGCATCACATGCGCACGTGCGTGTGTGTGTGTGTGTGTGTGTGTGTGTGCGTGTGTGTGTGTGTGTGTGGTGTAGCTGACTGAGCTGTGCAGAGCTGGTGGTCCTCTTCTAGGCAAACAGCTAAAAGTCAGAACAGTCCCGTCTTTGTTAAATGAATCTTCTCTTAGTAAACTGAGCCAAAACAGTGTGATCAAGTTTAATTTTATTTATTTTTTTTTACAGATAGGTCAATAAGATGATTTTGAGTACATTAAATATTTTTTTAATGTCTCTGGGTATCCAACTGCACCTTGAAAGAATTGCTTGCTAGATTCTGGGTGATATTGGTTTAAATAACACTTAGAGTAGCTTTACTGACAAAGATGAAGGTGCAGGTCTGATTAAAATAAGGCTGCCCTGCCAGAACTTCCTTAGTTTATGGTAAAATATGAAGATTCCTTCCTTTTGTAGATGATACAGGAATGCAGCCACATGAGTTTGCAGGAAGAACAGAACCATAAGAGCTTTCAATGTATTTTCATCAGTTAAAACTGGTTATGTTGAATAATCCTTACCTTGTACTTCTAAACATATTTCGCCACATCAATGTATAATTTTACTTACCTCTTCCCTCCCACCCTCCCCCCAGAAATCGTTCAACAAAAACAAGAGAACAATGAAAACCAAAAGGTGATGAGACAGATTATTCTCTTGGCTCCAAGTTGATGTTCACTGGAAAAAGAATCATCTGGACAATTCAACAGCCAATTGAATTGGACTATCCTCAGCTAGACTGGCTATCACTGGGTGCAGAAGTTGTTACTGTGTGAAGAAAATTCAAAGTTTGCAGAGTCAAGCTTTCTGAAATGAAACCATATTCTCTGTAAATGTTGGCACCCTGTAGGAAATATATGTATGATACATGCAAACAATATCAACTGCTACTATAAAAGCCAAAGAAAATTTCAAAAATATAAACAGTCCAAATTCTGAAAAATTAAGTGTACCTTACATTTAATAAAACAGAAATGTTGCCTTAGGGAAAATATGTCATATCAAAGTACTTCTTAAAACGGCAAACCGTAGTACTGTGAGGTTGTGTAAAAATAAGTCTTTTTTGGTACAGGCTAAAAAAAAAAACTGCCATTAAAACCATATAAAAATCTTATATAACAGGTAGAGTCAGTATTCAGTAGTAAAATACAGTAAGGCAGCAGTAGAGTTATGGATGTTATACAAATCAACTTTACGAGACCCTGCAGCTGCGTGAGGCTGCTTTAAGAATGCCCTCCCAGACAAATTCTGAACTAATAAATCTTTTCACAGCCTCAAAACAAGTCCGCTGGCACTAAGAATACATGCTGTCAGTGAACAGTTCATCCCCAAGTCACTCACTGGGTTCAGGCAATTAGTGAGTGACTCACAGCTGAATGTAAAGAGTGTGCTGCAGGACCAGTAGCTGGCAGACTGGTGGTTTTGATGTATCGTGACAACCATGAAACAACTGTTTACTCAAATGAAGTGTCAGCATGTTAGCTAGAAATTCCATTTGTTGTTCCTTATTTAAGCCAGGAATAATTCCTGGCTGCACGATATAATGTCTTTTGATGAAAGGGTGTGGCAGCCACTTATGTATGTGACCACCAAACTAACTGTGTGCCTCTTTAATGCTTAAATTAAGACATACATGCATCATCATGTGGTTCATCTGTGAATTAAGCCAGTGTTATTCAGCAAACAGTGTTTTTAATAATTATTCAGGCACCTTCAATTTGATCACATGATAGTTACAAACTTAAACTAACAGTATGATTTTATGTGGAAACCTGACACCATGTGTTGCATTATTTTGACGTAGAAGGAAAATGATACATGGTTTACAAATATGAAAAGCTTCAAACTTGCATGTGCATTCAGTCACCCCAAGTCAACACTTATCGCGTTTTAAGATATGTCTCTACCAACTTTGGATATCTCGACATTAAATATTTAGCCCATTCTTTTCAACATATCTCAAACTTAGTCAGATAAAATGCAAAGTCTGTGAATATAGACATTTCAGATCCCCTATAAGTTCTGAACTCTGATTAAGCCATTTGTCATGACAAATTTCTCCATTTTGAGCTTCCAAAACATCTGCCTGTATTTTTAGGGTCCTGATTAAAGATGACCCTACCCACAACTTGAAGTCTTTTACAGCCTCTAATCATTTTCTTTTTTTCAGGATTCCCCTGTATTTAGCTCCATAAATCTTTCCAGCAGCTTTGCCAACAGCATAACTTTGCCATCAACATGTTTCGTCGTGGGATGGTGCATTCAAAGTGAAAATAGAAAGTTAAATTTTCTGACAAAGCACCTTCCTCTCAGTGTCTGTCATCTCTGTTGTAATAATCTTCATGCACATCACTGTTTTGCTCCAAACTGCAGTACCCTCTGTTCAATACAAATTGATCTCCTGGTTGACGATTAGACACTTTGATTTGGTAATGCTGGACTTTCTGGCTCTGTTTATGCCATTTCTCTGTAGATTTGCATCTATGCTACGCTCATTGCTCATTATTTATGCAGGATTCACTGAAAAATGCTCTAGGATATTTTGCCCTGGTTTTTGATATCACTACAACCTTACTTCTGACCTGTCTGATGTGTTATTTGGTCTTAATTAGGCTCTTTATCTACTAATAAGGTCAAACAAACCTCTGAGGTCTTTAAAGTACTAATGAGATAATAGTGACGATAGTGGTACAAGTTTGTCGGTGGGTTGTCGGTTTGATCCCCGGTCCATCTGCCTCTGTTGTTATGACCTTGGGCAACACACTTCTTTTGAATACAAAAAAAGTGCAAAACAGCAGTTTTTCTGCAACTATTTTGGAGTTATGTTACACAGAAAAATCCATGAACAGATAATTCAGTGAACAATGAACTGCAAATAGGCCAGGCCCACTGTATCATTTTCCTTTAACGTCACAATCATGTGTGATTTTTTTTTATTTGCAACATAAAATGCCAATTAATTAAAGTTTTATTTTCGCAATGTGGTCTGAAAAAGTTCAAGGGGTGTGGATACTTTTGTAAGGCACTGCACAGAGATGAAGCCCAATGACACAATCAAACTACTAAATTTATGCCCAGTGTTTTCTTCTCCTCCTCTACGCACCAGATTCAATGTTCCAAATGCCAGTGCAAGCAGAAATCAGTTTTAGTATCCACCTTTGTTCTTGGAACATTCTTGGTTTGTGTCTTTAGCTACAGAGTTTGGAGAAAAGACCTCTGGTTGTAACTCTGCAGGCAGCTGTAAAAACCAGACAGAGTTTAAATGTTTCTAGGGGGAACACTGTAGGGAAGACACTGAACCTCAACAAAGAATGCTAAAGAAACAATGAAAACAGTGGGGAAATGAGGCATTCAGAAGAGAACATGCACACCTTTTATTGTGGCTACGAGAAACCTGAGTCTATGGAGTTCGGGAATGAATACAAATGTGATTCCCTCGTCCCCTCAAACCAGAACAACAAAGAACGAGCTATGTGTATGTGCTTGTACTAATTTGTCACAGGTGTACCTACGAGCACAGAGTGGTAAAAATCCACAACAAAAGCACTGTTCAGACAGAAGTGATAGAATATACACAAGCATCTATGTGTTTGTGTGTAAGTGATTGAGGCTACTTTGAGCTCACCGTCATCTCCTGGCCAACACCCAGCATCTCCAGCTGCCGCTGGATCTCTTGAAGCCGCGTCTCCAGTTCTCTCCTCTCCTTTATATCCTGCAGGACCTTCTCTCCTGGCTGCCGGTCCCAATCCTGCTTCCAACCGACCTTGGAGCCAAGGCCCTTGATACACAACAGACACAATTAGTTCTCACAAGGAAGAAACACCTCATCTCACATGAGTGCACTTTGAGTGCACTCAACTAACAGTGGGCAGTTTGAGCAGTTAAATGGGCATAAAGCTGTGTAATAGTTCACCACATTGAGTTCATGTGAAATTTTTCCATTTCTCCATGATTCCTAAAGATGTTGGGATTGATTTAAACCAAAGTTTAACAGCTTTCAAGAGAGACCTTGGAGCAGAACCCCACATTCATAAACAAACTAAGAAAGTTCAGTTAAAGCCCACTTAGGATTGAAGATAAATCACAGATTTATGAAAATAAGGTCAGCAGTTAACCGCAAGCAGCATCCAAAGCAAGCTTTGAAAATAGGTCAGAACGAAATAAAAGAATCCCACATGGAGCACAATCAACTGACAGATTTTAACAGAAAAATGTGACTTTATGACTACCACACCATGGATATTTTTCTTTGCCACGAACTTTAGTCATCAGATCAAACTCAGTCAAACAGACTCGGCAGGCTTACAGGGGAACAAAACACCGATTCCCTGCCAATAATGTCAGCGAATGCTAGTAGATGCTGCAAAGAAAAACTAAATGATTCCAGAGAAATGAATGAATGTTTGCCAAATAACCATCTATTCAGAAATTTCTAATTACCTAATTTTGGAAAAATGTGACCCACTTGCCATTGCATGGGACATAATGTGAGTCAACTGAGTCCATTTAAATTACAGTTGAGCCAACGTTCGAGTGAAAGTTAGAGGTTAGCTAATTGTAAGCATGACAGTTCGATAAAAGGGGAAAAACAAAGATTGTCAACACTCAAATTGGATATTTTAAGTTTGTACAGAATAACACAAAGATGGCTACAGATGAGAATAATGAAAGAAACTTTGATCTGTAATCGAACACAGACTGCACACTGAAATTTCAAAGAATGTCTCAAGAATAAATAATGTAACCACATTTTTTAAGAAATAAAAAAAAATGAGTAGCTGTATTGGCTTATTTGAATTAGTCAATAAAAGTAAGTATTTTTAACATTTTTGTGTTAGTGTTTAGTATTTTTTTAAGTTGCTTTTACCTAATTGTTTTAGGCATTTAAATGTTTTTGAGTAAATAGCCTACATCTAAAAATTTATTTGGTTTCCTCAAATTTCTACTGTTTAACATATCAGGCTCTACATTATAAACACAACTTATTCGTACAATAGAAGATATCCATAATGAAAGAAAATCTGACTGTGGGATTAAAATATTTTTTGAACTTAATGCTAATTGTGAATAATACAATTTAAAGAGACCTTTGCTGGTTCAATTTATCTCATAAATAGCTTTAAAATATATTGGAGTAGAATACAAATGGTTCCCACTAATTAAACTGGTTTCAAATTAAATTTGCTGTTTTGATATTGACATGTTTCGTTGACGTATCTACTGACCTGAGCAGAGCCTATAAAGCCGTAAAGCTTCATATTAAAAGAACAATGGTGACATAATTTATTCCAAATACATTCTTTCCTTCAAACAGAAATAAAATATTGACTAAATATATTCCAAAAATAAATGAATGTTCTTTTATGTTTAATTTGCTCAATAAAGATATGGACTGCTAACTTTATTGATGCAAGCAATAACAACTCATGGAATTACCAATTTTAAAAATGTGACATGTCTTTCTGTTTTCCATTAATAGATTAACTGATTCCCCTCAAATCACTTGTTTTAAATTAAACTTATTAAGTTTTATAGTGTAATTTTGGGCTAAGTTTATTTTTTATGAAAAGAAAAAGAAAATCTGGGTGGAGGACAAAAACTAATAAATTGTGCGTAACGGACAACAAATGTACTTATAAACAACTCAATTAATTTGAACAGCCAGACATTTGTTTCTGTTTTATTCCACATGCTCATGTCAGAGCTGCTTATTTGTACTAAATGGCTTTTTGATTCCCAGTAGCATTTCATACGTATACAAAAATACATAACTACGATCTAAAAGAGGACAGAGACAGCAGACTTGCTAAGCTAACCAAGCAAATATGATAACTTAGGACTCTCTCATCCACACATGCTCACTTTTGGCTTTAGAAATTCCCAGGAGGAGACAACCAATGCTTAAGGCCTCACAAAAAAAAAATCAACAGATGATGTACTGCGGTTCTAGTTTGTCTTTGACATTCAGTGTTTCTTTAATAGTCCAGAAGCTCCGATCGCTACTAAACAACACACTGGAAGCAAATGTGGGTTATAGAGTGTTATAGACTATAATTTTGGGTCATATTTTGACCTCAAAAATAAAAAAAATATAATAGCGGAAGAGAGGTGAAGAAAACAAATAAATTGTTGAGCTTGAGGATTCTGCAAACCACAGGATGGTTCTGGAGTGTCAGATCAGCGCCGTGTGGTTAAAAATCTCTATCTGCCTCGGTTAGACTAGATGGCAGGCAGACGTGTGCATGATCTAATAATGACGAAATTGATGGATAATTCATTGAATGTTGACATCTCAATAAGAGCTTGCCTATGACATAATGGTAGGTTACTGAAGATGCCGGCATCCTGCGGACTTTACAGATTTAACTGCAGAAAGTCTAAATACGCTATGACATATTTATGATGGGATGTAGTCCTAGTTAAAGCCAGGGTGGAAGGGGAGTTTAGCAAAGTATTTAGAGTAGACTGAATGTTGTTGCCCAAGTTATAAAGCAAAATAGACAATCCAACTCGGTCACCTCGTGCACTTACGTAAATCAGTTTTGGACAACGTTGAGGCACCAACATGATAAAAAAAATATCCAAATCTTAACAAAAACAAAATTTTTCCTAAAAAAAAGCAAAAAAATAAATAAAAAAAAGACTGTGTGTGGCCTCATCTAGAGGTGGGCTCTGTCTTCCATCCTGGAAATAATGACAGTTTCTATCCTTGGAGTCTCTTTAAGTGGTCGTTCCTGGACCCTTTTGGGAAAGTCTCACTCATCCTAGATGGCACAAGCCAGGACCACAACAGGATCAGACTCATGTTATGCACCAGAGTGAGAAATACAGGGTTTCCAATGAGGAAAAATAAAAATTAAAGTCTAGCTTTACCACCATCCTCCCACCACTAAATGCATGTTCCTAAAAAGGCTCAAATCTCTGCAAGAGAAAGTTTATTTAATTTGGAAAGAAGCGCTGCCGTACCTCTCACAAAATATAAGTTAGAAACATAAAGAGAGTCTGCAATATTTAATGATAATAAAGCCAGCAGTTGGTCTTTATGACTCTGCCATATATTTTTGGCAAAGTTAATAATAATAATAAAGTCCAAAAATAGTACTTAAAAATCCTGATTTCTGCACAGCAACAATCTTGAAGGAAATGAAAGCAGCCGAGGCAGAAAATTGAGAAACTTAGACATGCAAATAATCACTATAAATATTAAATTAAATATTTTCATTTTGAAAAAACAAGAGTGGTTTGAACATATTTTAAAAAGTAGCGTTTGCTTTTCTCGACATGAAATTGTAGTAATGATTCACTGCTCGTCAAAACAAATAATTCTGTTTCTACACCTGAACAGTCTCCAACAATTGTTCTGCTATATTACAGTAGTGTTTTTGGCTGTTTTCCTAGAATACGTAAAAACTTAAAATGAGGGTAAGACTCAGTAAGTTTAGCTCAGCAGAGAGATACACAAATCAAATATATTGACTTAGAAAATTAAAAGAACTGATGTTCAAAAAAGTTTAAGAAGTGATACAAACCTTCTTAAGCATTTGATAATATATTGCACACAATTTATTCACCATTTATGCCAACAGGTCTTCATAGGCAGGTCAAAAAGTTGAAAGAAGTCTGGTATGACTGTCACTCTGAGATCCCATCTATACTAATCAAGCATGCAGTTACAGAATGCTTGCAAATGCTACTCAATGTAGCAACAAACTTCAAAGTATTTTATTTGGAATTTACATGAAAACAGAACAGTGCATGCTTGTGAAGCTGTGTGAAAATTATATATGGTTTACATTTCTTACAAATAAAAAGCTGGGGGAAAAAAATAGTGCATTTGTATAAAGGTTGGACAGACTGTACCAATCGCTCTGACCTTGTACTGCAGCCAGTACAAGGTCAGGTTTTCATCCAGAAGTGCCAAATATTTAGCTCCATCTATCTTGAATGGCCACCTTGACTCTTTGATTAATGCACTCTTTGCCTTGCCTGTCAGCTTAAGTGTACAGCCATGTGTTGCTAAGTTTACAATTGTGCCATATTATTTTCATTTTTGGATGGTAGACTGAACATTTCTCTGTAGATGTTCAAAAGCCTATGATGAGGATGAGGATATGCAAAATATCCTCATTAACAACAATAAAGGCTTGAAAATATCAGTTTATGAGCAACAATGTGTTTCATTTAGTGAATCTAAATAAATCCACTTTTCAATATTTAATGAATGAGACTACGTATATATCACTTAAGTAAAGACATAGAAATGTGTTGTTCTGATGTTGACAAATTTCCCAAAGCATGTTTGAGCTTCACGATATATTGGTAATATATTGTCATTGCAATTTAAGTATGTGCAATTGCTGAAACTGAACAGACTATTTGGAGTGCAATAATTGTTGACTAATACATTCCAAGTGTTATGAACTTGCATTTTAAATGGTAATGTAACATTTAGGCAGTTGGAAATAGTTTTCACAGAAGTAGGTGCTCACAACAAACACAAATGACATTCCCCAAAATGCTAAAAATCAGAGTACTGGAACCACCAATCAGAAAGAGAGGAAAGAAAAAAGGATGTTTTCACAAATTTTGATATATTTCCCATTATTGTCATCATTAAAAGATTTACTAATATTGTGCAGTCCTGTAACACATGAGGCATACACACAGGCGTTTATTAATCCCAGTGTATCCTGTGTTTCATGTGTTGACCTAAAAAGGAGACAAAACATTCCACATCAATTTTGTCAGTGGGCTTCAGGGTGAAACAGCTGCAGCATTTGATACATCAGCCACTGATGTCCAAAGTGACAAAACTCCAAATGCATCACTTCGAATCAGCCCCAAAAACAAATCTCGGAACTCTAAAGCTCAGCAGAGAAATCAACTAATTATGGGTAGCGTATAATAATATCATTTTTGAATTATTTTTCAGTGGTGAGAGCCACTGAGATTGATTGTCTGGTGTTTCTTTCTCTCTCCAATGTGGACTGCATCTGTGGTGTGTCTGGCCAAAATTACAGCTGGGTATTCTGATGCAGATCTGTGTCAGATGCACAAAGAATTTGTTTATGTCGTCTTGTATAAGTGCATCCTACAACAATATGTGTATTTTTATTCTGCAAGAGCAATTACTGACTCATGTATTTTAGATGGTCAGAGGGACAGCCAGAGCAACTTTATGTGCTTGTTAACACATTCAATACAAGTTAAATAGGAGCAGCTTGCTCCAATGAAACCAATCGAACTAAAGTTCACTTTCAAGTTATAAATGCTACTGCCTGTGTTAAATTAATCAAATTAGGTTAAGGTGTTGAGTTCTTCATATTTTATGGCTGGGTAAGCTACTCATCAAAACAAACGTCATGAGTTTCTTCAGAGTATTTCATGCAAAAAAATAAATAAAAAAAATAAAAAAAATTAATGACAGGAAAAAATTCTGTCTGGATATTTGCTTGGAAAACATTTCAGTGAGGTGGAATCCAGCCAATATTTTCAACATTTTTTTTTACTGTGCAGCAACCACAAATTGGCTCGCTGACCCTGTCTTTGGGGGCCTTTGTTTTATGAACAATATCTGTTGATCGCATTAAGTTCCCCATCATGAAAAAGCAAGCAGTAAGGAAAATGTGTTTTTGTTTTGCTCTGATTTTCCGTCTCTTAGCTGATTCATTGCAGGTCAATGGAGTCTCTTGCAAAGTATTCATGTGCACCTTTTGCCACGTTCCAACCACAACCTCCATGTACTTCACTGGGACTTCATGTGATAGAACAACAGCAAAAAGACCAAGAAGTACATAACTGACAAGCAAAACAAACAACAAAAAAAGAGCATTTTTATTTATAAACAAACACAAATATGAAAAGTGTGTCAGTATTCACCCTCCTTTTTCTAAGTTTTCCCCACAAAAAAAAAAAAAAATGATGGCATAAGATTGCATCGGGAAATAAAAAAAAAAGGCCCCTTGTTTAATGTTTGTTTGAGAACATTATTGAATAAACATGATCATAACTACAAAATAACATAGTAGATAAATTTGTGGAGCACTTCAAAGCAGGATTAGATTATAAAACAATACACAAAGCTTTGGACATCTCAAGGAGTCCAAAAATTGAAACAATATGGTGTACAATTGCACAACAATTAAGGCATGGGTATCTATCCAAACCGTCTCTTGGGGAAGTAGAAAGATTTTTTTCTTCTACTAACTAATCCATTAGTTGTGCTGTCTTCAAATATGAATGTTGTAGACTGTAAAGTAAAACAGTTTTTAAAAGAGGTGATGAGAAGCCACATTTGCAGCTTGCAACAAGTAATGCGGGGAACACAGCACACATGGGAAGGATAATGTTGTCCGGAAATGAGAGTAAAACTGAACTTTTTGGCTGAAATCTCCAAAAACATTCTCCATAAGTTTTCTCCATAGAAACACATTTGTTATAAGAAAACACCATAATCTCACTGTCAACCATGGCGTTGGAACAATCAGGCTGTGGGGATGATGTTCTTTAGCAACAATGAAAAAAACAACAACATAAAAATAAAAAATAGTTGGTCAGAGCTGATGAGAAGATGGGAAGGGAAACATTGGGAAAGGAAAAAGCAACTTCAGACTGGACCTTTCCCCTGGACTGCAACCCTAAACATACAAGTCGGGGTATGTGCTTGAGTGGATGAGAAAAAAAAAATAGTCTGTGACTTCACTGGAAAACTGCTGATTACAGACATTCTATTCAATTTCTCTAAGGCTGAGTTGTTTGTAAACAAAAAATAGGAATAAAGTTCAGTTTATGTATGCAAAACTGGCAGAGGCATGCTCAAAGACTTGCAGATGTAGCTGTCGGGATGGTGACCAACATTGACTTAGGGGGTTGAAATCAAATGGGAACCACAGTTCTTTTAGATTTGTTTTCCTTTCACTTCATAACTATGTACAACTTTCAGTTAGTCTATCCCATAAAATCCCATCATAATACATGGAAATGTGTGGTTCCAAAGTGACAAACGGTCACAAGGCTATTGAAACTTGTGTAAAGCAACCAAAGCCACTGTAAGAGCTGATCTATTTTCAACGCCTACAGCAAGGAAGAGAAGGCATAAAGAAATAACACAGCCATGCTAATTTTCTCCATGTTATTCAGGACAGCACCCTCCTCGCCTACTTCATCTGCGTCTCTGTTTTCTCTCAATCTCTTGAAATGTGAACTTTAGTGGTTGCTCTGGATGTGCCACGTGGACCCAGGCTACCTGCCAAGGCCTGTCCACATGCCTTGCCACGAGCTCTCCCTGCGAGAGCACAGGAGCTGTTTAGAAGCTTAAGAGTCTCTTGACTTTTTCTCAGTTTCATATTTCTTACCGGGTCTCCCTAGGTGACATTTTGCCCAGCTGTGACTCATATCCATCTGACAAGCTTAGAGATGGAGGCGTGGCAACAAAACTGCATGCATTATATTTTATACAGTGGATCAGCTGCTAATACTTTGGTAGTGTTAGCAAGTCTAACTCTTTATTTCTCCATGCAAATCAACTAAGTGTAATAGTGCTCAATAAGAGTAAATAGTGGGGCCTGAAGACTGAAAATTTGTTTGTCTCCAGGCCGTCTTTTCCCCCCCCGCAGATTTAGTGTTTTTTTTTTTTTTTTTTTTTTTTTTGTCAACATCTTGGATCCTTGTTGACTTGATGATTGGTGAACATTCCTGAAGTATTAGGAGATTCACTTGTGGGTCATCTGGACTGTGTACACAAGCTTTCTTTTTCAGAACTGAGGGTGGTCTGAAGTATTCAGATCAAAACCTCCTGGTGCATTTTACAATCTAAAACCACATTGAATGTGATGGCTAGAAATAGCCACGCCACCTGTGCATTTTAGTATGTCAGAATCATATTAAGATAGAAGTATTTTAAGTCCCCATTTTTACATTTTCAACCTCTAAACTTGTGCTTGGAAATGTTTTCAAACTACTGTAAATACATCCAATGTGTTGCTCTTGTTGTTAGGAAATGCTCAAATGATGATCTCCACCCAGCATGCTTTGTTAGCATAGGATAACTTTAGTTTTTGCCAAACAATGACACAGACAAAATGAAATGTGAAGTATAAAAAAAGAGTTGAAAGCAGGACAAATTCAATATTTATCAAAAGCATATGGAAGAAACAACAACAAAAAAAAAAAAACTCAAGCATCCTTTAGCACTCTTTGTCCCCCAAAAAACAGACGCTATGTTCGACAATGTCTGGCCCACAGCTGTACAGCATATAGTCTTCTACAAGGAAACTACTTTTTTCCAGTGGTGGAAAATAAAACATGCCATAGGAAATGTTTTCAAAATTGGAAACCAAACTTTAAAAGTCCAATTTATGTCTTGTATTTGCCTTAAAAACTTGAGTTTGTACCTTTTAGAAAAATATGATTTTTACATGTTTGTTAAAACTGTCACTATGTTCTGACAGTATAGTATAAGAGATATAATTTATGAGAAGATCTACCTCCTCTGCTTTCTCCAAGCGCTAACCATCATTAGAGCCTGTCGATACAGCCCAGGGTAGTTATCAAGGTCACCGATGACGGTGGATAAACAGTTTTCCTGGAACAGTAAGTGGATTAACCGCCAGTAGCACGTTGAGCAGCATGTACCTGAGGTTGATTGACAGTACTCAAACACTCCTCCTGGCTCTGACTGGTTATTTTAGACAGATAGCACTGGGAGGACATGGAGGAGTTAGATGTTTTCATTATGGGCCTCATATTATAGCCAGGACAGTTTAAACCGGGGGGGATTTTTTTTTTTTTTTTTTTTTTTTTTAATAAAAGTTACATATCCCAGGTTTAATAAAGCATTAGAATAAGTATGGGTGTTTATTGACAACAGCTGGCTATGTGACCAAATTATCCACAGTGGACTTCCATAATGAGTGGAACACTCAAAAAGCATACATGACAAAGCAAAACCTCTGAACCGCTTGACACAACTGTGGCTGAGGATACAACCAGTGGGAGAGGCGTTTATAAGAAAACAATAAAGTGAATCACACTGGAATTACAGGGTGTGAAAGGGTGTGGAGGTCATGATTTTAGACTGTATGAAAAATAGTAAGTGTGCCATATGACAACCCTGACACCTTAACATTGTGACAATATCCAGACATTTGAGGTTATAGCACATGTGCCTATAAAAATCCTTCTGTCTCAGAAATGTAACTATTATATGCAATTAAGTTAAGCTGATCATGATCACATATAACACAATTTGGTTTGATAGCAATCACATAATCATACATTAAATATGCAGTATGATTGTAATATGATACCAATAAATTATGACAACACAAAAGTGATGCGATAGGATAGACAATGACTGTAAGACGAGCTACAATATAGTATGGTACAATGAAATACAGATACAAAAGATACATGATATGATTAGAACAAAAGATGCAACGCCCTTAGTTTACAAATAAGAAAATCAATTAAGTACTGTGAAGTGCAGCAAAACACATATCAAAACTACTTGCATAAAAATTGCACATAGCAAAGTAAACACATTCCTTTATTTGCAAAGTGATCTAATAGAATGATAAACAATTTAATAGCAAAAAGGCTAAAATTCAACTAGATCATTTTTGTTTTTGTGTATCTTTTGAAAATACACCTGCATTTTTGTAGTAAAAAGAAACATTATATTTATGAATGCAAATAAACAGTCTGCTGGTAAGGTAAAAACTCCAATGCAAACTTAAAATCCCTCTCTTTCATCAGTACTATATTGTCATGCTAACTTATTCTAATTATAATGATGACATTAAGGATACTGAGTATTTTTTTCCCCTCTGGAGTCATTTGACAGGCATTAATTAGTGCACCACCACTTAGAAAGCTGCTATAATGTTCCAACAACATTTCACACAATATGCAGCTTTTGCTTATTTCTATAAGACTCTCTGGCTGCACATGTGTCTACAAAAATCCTTCAGTAACTGAGCATCATGCTTAGATGAAGATCTATGCACAGGGATTTCTGTTTTCTGAGGTTTTATGCGAACCTTAGATGTGTTGCGACTTTTTTACACTTATATGCTGTTCAGTATATTTTGCATGATAAGTGACTGATTTACAATTATATGTTAAGCATAATTTACATGTTGATTATTATTAATTGTATTGAACATGATTGTATATAGTTACAAAGGTGAAGTGGAATATATTTAAGTGTGAGACATGATTTATTTGAATAGAGGAAGTATTTTATTTTGAAGAATGCTTAACAAGATCTGGTTCTGTTTTGTCGCCATCTTGCTTTTGTTGATTTTTGGTTGCTAGGTTACAAACAGCTGTTGCCGTTATCAGCTCTCGCCATTTTTCTCTTCAATAAAAGCTGAACAGAAAGGTTCAGTAAAAGACATACGAGCCTCTGTCTTGTTTGAAGAAGCTTTACTCCGAAACAAGTTGGCCTCTTCTCTGGATTTATATGGCGCTGACATGTTCTACTTGTGGTTCCAATTAATCATGTGTGAGTAAAACTTACAGAAAGTCATTCTCCTGCTTTGTAAACTAACCACTTTACTTTGAATGTCGTAATCATTAATAACTACTGCTATAAAGACGTGGGGGGCTGAGCTCACATCCTTCACACTCAGTCTCCCAAGAACATTTTTGAGAGTGCGAAAAATAAGGCTTGTAACATCATAACAGGTTTCAGTTCTAGTCTCAGTTATGTTCTCTAGTATCCGGCAGCACAAAAAATAAAATAAAATAAAATCAG